GTGCTGGCCCCTACCCTGGGGGTCTTTAAGAAGAGGCTGGATGCCTACCTGGCTGGACTCATTTGAGTCCCGTTTCTTGTTTTGGGGTTTTGTTGTTCTCCCGCCCTGGCGGGGGGTCGGGCTAGAAGATCTACTAGGTCCCTTCCGACCCTTAATCTATGAAACTATGAAACTAGGTCCTGCACTAGTTTCAGCCACCTGAGTAAGGAATGGTTGGGAGGGGTGGGCAAGGTACACCCGTTTCCAACCCTCCATCAGTAATGGGGAGGCGTCAGCGACCTGCTCCAAGAAGCTCTGCCCCCTCCTCTCCTCCCCATGCTTTGCTCCCGCTCTCATCTCCCTTCCCCTGGCCCTATGTCCCTTCTGCCCAGGGAGCCTCCAGGTGCTGAGGCTGGGGCTCCAGGACATGGAGTAAGGGTGATCTCTGTGCTGCCGTCCAGCTCAATTCGTGACAAGATCCAAAAACTCAAAGAGCAGGAAGGGGTGAGGAGCAGGACAGGCCCTTTCAGCAAGAGACAACACAGCCCAGCCAGAGGGAGGAGGTGGCTCTGGGAGTTGGCACTGCCACATGGTGCTTTCCTCCATATACCCTTGGGCTGAATCAGCACCGACGCGGTTCCCCCAGGCCATCACCACCGGGCAGCTGGCGAGGGGCCCCTATGAAAGTGTTGGAGGTTCTCAGCTCAGGCCCGCAACACTTCATCCAGGAGCAGCCCCAAATCCCCTTGACCCGACTCGACCAGATCTGAAGGACTTCCCAGCCCTTCAACCCAGAGTTGAAGCCAGGGGCACCCCCTCAGCTGCACAGTGCATGCAGTGAGCTCGGCAGCTTGTTGGTGGGGATGCAAGAGCTGGCACTGGTGCAACTCTGGACCCCAGGGTGTGAACGCTATCCCCACTGCTCAGGCTCCCCTCTTTCCCTGCTGTTGAATTTGGTCGAGGGGAGGGAAGGGATAAGCAGCACTGGCGTTCCTCCTCTGGGTTCAAGGAGCCACACCAATGCAGGCCCAGGCAGCAGCCACACTGACAAGCCTGAGGCGAGCAGGAGGAGGAGGCAGCTCTACCCCCCCTGGGACCACCCAGGCCTGTGTCACAAAGGGGTAAGTCAAGGTTAACAACAGGGCCGCCACCTTGGCTGTCCCACCTAAGAGCCCGGGCACCGAACCACCCAGAAGAGACCAAACCTTTCACCTTCCACTGCCTGGAAGTGGCTTCTCCAGGTGTCCCACCACAGCAGCATCACGGAGAATCTTGCCCTGCAGCTACTCCAACATTGATCATTTACTGTATTTTCTCATGCAGAACATGCACATTTCCCCGCAAACTAGCGGGTGTGAGAAATAGGGATCCTCAGGGGTCAGATTTGGCAGCAGGAGAGCAGTGCCTGCTGCCCACCTCCTCTGGTCCCCTCTGCACCCCCACTGCAGCCTCTCCTCCCACTCCAGCAGGACTCCAGTTTCACTCTAGCTCCATCCCCAGCCCAGCAGCAGCATTGGCAATGACAGCTCTGGCAATGGCGCCAGGGCCCAGCCACAGCTGCCACAACTGTTATGCTGCTGGGCTGGGGCTGGGGCCTGTTGGAGCTGCAGGGTAAGCTGCAGGGAGGCAGGGGGGAGAGGGAGGCAGCTGCAGCTCCAACAGCCTCCTGCCCCCTCCTCCCCCCCACCCTGCTGCCAGTTCATACTTGAATCCAAGACAAGGGGTTTTCCCTGACCCATGTTAAATGACGGGGAGGGAAACCTCATCTTGGATTTAAGTAAAGACGTTGCCTAGAAGTACCTCATTTTGAAGTGGTTCCCAGGGGTGCAACTAGGGGGTGCTCAGTCCAGGGACCCTGCTCCCCTGTCTCTGGGGTGCAGAGGCAGGGGGGTAGAGAGTGCAGCACACAGCCAATGCTCACATGTATGCCTGGCTGTCCCCAGGGCTGGAAAGTGGGAAACCCCATGTGGGTCTCTGCATCCGGTCTCCCAATGAGACTGTCCTTGGCAATCTCCGGAGCCCAGCAGCTGTGCAAGGCACTGGGGCCAGAGAGAAGTATTGCTCACACACCTCCCTGCCCGCCTCCAGAGCCAGAGGCCCTGAGGCCAAGCACATGGGAGAGCGCATGCTGGCTGTCTGCCCCACTCTTCCTCACGCCCTCATAGTTGGGGGGAGCAAAATTGCAGGACTGAGCAACCACCTATTGCACCCCTGGCTGGAAAACGTGTTGCTCTGTGCCATCACAGTGATTTGAAGCACCTGGGAGCGGAGGGAGATTGGCACATCCATATGCTGGGCACTGTGCTACAGACGCTAAAGCAGGAACCTCGTGCCATCAAGGCTTGGGGGGCAGCTCTGCCCTCACTGCTGAGGTTTCTGTGCCAAAAATACTAAGATTATGCAACAGGGAAAAGACAGCCACACCATAGCTGGGACACTAGCAGAAAGACCAGTCCCTCATTCCTTGAGTCCAACTGGAGGATGCTTTAGTTAACCATCACTATGAAGGGACTGGAGCTCTTTCATTTTCCCTCCCCAGGTAAGGAAAGCCTGAATCTGTACACTGAGAAGCTCTACGGAGATTCACACCTAGGCCAGTCAGCACAGAGGCTTGGTCTCTCCAGGCACTGCCCTCACTTGCAAGTGATCCGACTTGCAGACAGAGGCCACGGAGTGCAGCATGGTCCAAGTATGCTCAGGGGAGGGAGAGAGGTCACAAATTAGCAGCACTCCCTGCAGGCCAGTTTCCTGGATGTTGAGGGGACATCCCACTAACAGAAGATCCTGACTTTGCAAGAGGATGGAGCCCTCGTCCCAGCCTGGAACAGGGCCAAGCTGCAAGTTTCATCCCCCATGATCCATTCAAGCCATGTCCCCTCTACCAGGAGTACCAAGGATGGGCCAATGGAGGTAGCACTGTAAGACACGCACCCCTGCCCCACAGGAGATCAGAGGTCACTCTTTGCACAGGGAGGAATCAAAAAGCCATCAGATACTAATGACTGCGCTCCCAGTCCTGGACAGAGTCCCACTGGTGAGGTATAAGGCAAGGGTGGACTTTACCCCAGAGGGCATAAGTGGCTTGGCACATGGCCTAGCATCACCTGTGCCCTCAAACGAAGGCATTAAGTGGGATCTGACTGGCACACAGAGCCCTTCTCCGCATTGAGCTCAGCATGGCGGAGGATCCTGCATGGCAGACCCCATCCAAGAATGGGAAGGACCGGAGAGCTGCCACCCTGACAGCAAACAGAAAGCCAGAAGAGCTCAGCTCCTCTGAGCTCCCACCATGGGAGGGAGAACTGGAGACCCCAGCTCAGGGGCCTAGCATTAAGGGGTCCCCACATACCCGTGTTTTGACATCAAGCAAAACCTCACACCAGGGACCAGCAGTATCTTGATGTTCCCAGAAATTGGCTTCAGCAAACAACACACCACTGCTCCTGGCGCTGGCGGAAGGCATCCAAAAATTCCCTAGAGACATGTGGGACGACTTGCGAAGAAGCACGGTGTCCCCATCACGGAGACCCCCTGGCAGGGGCAGACCCCGAGCACTGCCAGAAGGGTGGGGCAAATTTTCCTCTCCAATGAGGGTCCCACTGGGTGGGTGGGGGTATGAGAGAGAAGCCTACAAGATGGCAACCAGGGAAGAGAAGCAGGTAGAGTACCAATAGAGTCAAGCATCTGAGGTGGCAGGACTCCTCCCTGCAGATAAGATTGAACAGAGCATCCCAAAGTCCCCCTCTCATGCCTCAGCTGTACAGCCGCTGACTGAAATGTTGCCGAAAGAGAAAGGAGCCATCTGCGTACATGGCTAAGCGTGGCATTCACCCAAGTCTTGGTGGCTAGAGAGGAAGTGATGTTCTTCCATCTCCCTGCTGCGCTCCTCTGCTAATTATTCAGATGCTTGTACAGCATCAACCCCGCAACAGAAAAGAAGGCAACGGCCATGGCTAGCCCCAAATAGGGAGAGGCATCCTCGGCACCGTCTCCTCTTGGCTGGTTCGCGTTGTGTCCCGAATCTCTCAGAGGTGCCGTGGGACTCCAAGGACCATCGGGCTGCGTGCTACTGCCTGCCTCGTGGCTAGGACGTCCCCCAGACAAGTCAGGAGAGGCTGATGCAGGAGAGGTCCTGCAGGTGCTGTCCCTGTCCCTGGGGTCGACAGCATCCTCCAGCTCCAAGCTAGGATCATTTGTCACGTGGATCTCGTGAGTTCTCACATCAGCGGCGTCCCAGCTGCTGCTCAATGACTGATAGGTGCTTCGGCCAATCTGGGGAACCTCATCTTTCTCAGGGCCACTGACAGCTGCCGAAGGCAGTTGGTGTGGCTTTGAGAAGGACGAAGAACGACTTTCTTCTGGTTGAAGGTTGCAGGCGCCTCCAGGGTCAGAGCTGGTCGTGCTCAAGCTGCTCATCATGATGGGGTCGCTGAGGAGAAAGCGGTCTGACCTCCCAGAATACTCAGGGTCTGTGTCTTGTGAGCTAGGCTGCCGGCATGCTGGCTGCTCCGGGAGCTCGCTGTGGGTGGAGCAGAGCATGCCTGGCTTGCTGAGCTGCTCTTCCTCCCTGCTGCAAAAAACCTGGTAGCTCCTACAGATGTCTGGCATGTTTCTGGTCATGCCAGCTGGGTTCTGCGGGCTGGCATTTCTCATGCTCCCAGAGATTTCTGGCTTGGCTTGACTCACATCCGAATGAGGGGGCTGTGGGGTTTGAACCACCTGCAAGGGACGGCAACAAAGGGGATCGTTCGGATCACAAATCAAAGTGCCGCTTGGTGAGTGCCCACAGCTTCCGCACTCAAACCACACTGCAAGAGGCTAAGCAGCTCAGGTCATGCAGCTCAGCCCATGCAGCTAAGAAACAGGTCACCTGCAGTACCCGACCTAGGAGAATGGGGCACAGCCGGTGCTGCATGGCTGGAAGGATGGCGAGCAAAAATGGAGAGGAGATTATCAGGGCTCTGACGAAGCCTGTGGGATGGGGACAGACCAAGACAAGAGCAACCGAAATGATCCATATGCCGAAGGGGATGACTGACAAGGAAAAGTGAGAACAGCTATGAAGCAGCTTGGCAGCTGACTGGGGGCTAGTACTGCCTAGTCACACCTGGGGCTCCAGTGGGACTGAGGCAGCTGGTACCAGCACTGGCAAACAGTAACCACTGGGCCAGGAAGGGGATTTAGTGCAATGCAGCTGGACATAACCAGGAGCACCAGGATTAAAAGGGGGCATTTCAGGCTGCATAGGAGGGAAAGCTTCCTCTGAGTGACATCCAATAGGCTGTGGAAGGACCCTGAGGAAGCCAGAAGCCTCACCACTCTGGACACTAACAGCAGCAAAGCACACTCGACAGGATGTTGCAGGGATCACCCCTCTGCCAAGGAGCAGACAGACTAAAGGATCTACCCAATGAGCCTTTCCTACCTGTGGGCTGTGATCTAAAGCCCTCTGGAGTATGAACAGGAAATTTCCCATTGACTCAAGTAAGCACTGGACCAGGGCCCTAATGTGGGGAGGCCTGATTCTCCCAGCAGGATTTCAGTCAGCTGCACAGATGTCTCCATCATACTCATTAGCCCAAGGGCCTCTTTAAAATGCGCATGACAAAATGCTGGGGCAGAGCAGAAGACAGACCGCGCACCCCC